AGAGAGAGAGAGAACGAACGAACGAACTTCCGTATAAGGCTCTAGGTTCTAAAGACCCATATCCTCCAATTAGCTCACCCTTGAGGACCAAGTCTTTGACACATGGATCTTTGAGGGGACGCTTATCCAAACCCTCTCATATTGTAGAAGAGCAAACAGGTTTATAATCCCAGCACTGAGAAGGCAGAGGCAGGAGGATGATGAGTCTGAGGGCAGCTTGGGCTACATAGTAAAATTATATCTCAGAAAAACAAAAACCAGATACCTGTCTCAGTTACTTTTCCTGTTGCAATTTAAGGACGGATTTACTGTGGCTCACAGTTCAGGGGTGCAGTCCATCATGGCAGGGAAGGGGTGGTAGCAGGAGCTTAAAGCAGCTGCTTATTACTTCTGCAGCCAGGAAGCAGAGTGGTGCATACTGGTCCTCTGCTCGCTTTCTCCTTTTTCTGCAGTCCAGGACCCAAGCTCAGGGAATGGTGTTGCCCACTTTAGTGTGGGTCTTCCTACCTCAGTTAACCAAATCAAGATATTACTCACAGGCATGACCAGAGGCTGAGGTATGCCTAGAGGCTTGTCTCCTAGGTAATTTCCAGATCCCGTCAAGTTGACATCATCATCATCCCCTCTCCCAGGCTTAGAGAGATTAAATAATTTGCCTGTGGCGACCAGTGAGGAGGAGTCGGAGGTTGAGTCTCAAGCCTGGTGATCTGTTCAAATTCATACTTTCCTGTGTCTGCCCTGTTTCTGTTACTCACAGGGCATCCAAGTGGGCCATGAGGTACCTAAAGAGGGCAGGCTGAAGGTAGAGCATGGAATGTTCTAGCTTTCCTTGACCAAGTGGGAAGCAGAGCAGAAGGCCATTGGCTGCTCTTGCAGAGAGGATCTGGGTTTAGTTCCCAGCACGCACACAACAGCTAACAACTGTCTGTAATTCCAATTCCAGGGGGATATGACACCTTCTTTTGGACTCTGGGCATTGTACATGCATGCATGCAAAACTATATATACACATAATAAAAACGAATAAAATATTTTCTTTTAAAAGAGGTCTAGGCCAGGTGTGGTGGTACATGCCTTTAGTCCCAGCACTTGGGAGGCAGAAGCAGGTGGATCGTTGTGAGTTTGAGGCCAGCCTGTTCTACATAGTGAGTTCAGGTCAGCTGGGACTACAGGAAGACCCTGTCTCAAAAAGCCAAAATAAAAGAGGGCTAGAGACTTGCTTGGGGCCACAGAGTCAGCTGATAACTGACTTTGACTTCCCATCCCCTTTCAGTGGTGAGTGAAGATATAGATATCCTTTGGTCTATGGAGAGGCTGAGGTCCAGGGCAGGGACCCTGCACAGCTGGTCACAGGGGCCTGCACCTCCTGATCCTATGAGCTTGAGTGGCTTCCCACCCTGGAATGCAGGGGGTTGCTCTTCAGGACTCTTCATGGGCTGTGTTCTCTCTGCAGGTCACGCGACATCCACATCAGCATCAAGATGCTCCAAACTGCCCAGCAGCACCAAGTCTGGCTGGCCCCGGCAAAACGAGAAGAAGCCCTCAGAGGTGGGTGGTAGTAGTGTGGGTAAGCTTCCAGGAAGGATTAAACTGGGATGCAAAGGTGACTTGAGTGGACTTCTGTGGGGAGTGAGAGACTGAGTTAGACTGATGTATAAAGACTAACCATTCTTGGCAGAGGGTCCATGCCCAGTGCCAAGGGCAACCAGTGTGGCAGGGTGGAACCAAAGAAGGACCAGCGCATACTGACCCAAGAGAAGCTTTGAATGATCATAGACAGAGCAATGACATAATCTGATGTGTTGTTATTGGGGGTTTTTTTGTGGGTTTTTTTGTCTTGTTTTTTTTGTTTGTTTTTTGTCTTTTTGAGACAGGGTCTCCCTGTAGCCCCAGCTGTCCTGGAACTCACTATGTAGACCAGGCTGGATTTGAACTCACAAAGATCCGCCTGCCTCTGCCTCCCGAGTGCTGGGATTAAAGGCATATGCCACTATGCCCGGCCTGTTACTGTTTTTAGACAAGGTCTCACAATGTATCCCTGTCCTGGGGAACTATGTAGACCAGGCCGGCCTTGAGCTCATTGAGAGCCTCCTGTTTCTGCCTCCCTAGTGCTGGGATTAAAGCCTTTGCCCAGCATAATCTGATGTTTTAATAAAAGGTCCACCCGGTACTGTGGGAGAAGATAAACTGTTTGCAGTTGCCTGTGGCTTAAGGCTGGTCGCAGTGGAATCAAAGCAGGATTAGAGGTTTTTAGATGCAGAGCCAAGGGTGACAAGATTGTCAGGCAGAAGGATGGGGTCCTCAGAGCCATCCGGTCAGCCGTATGCTTCTTAGACTATTTCGTGTGTACCTGCATTTTAAGCCTTCCTCACTTTGATCTGGGGTGTTTCTCACAAGTAGAGAGAGGTGTTTTAATGGCTTCTAAGGGTGGATGGATGGACATCAGACCCTGTTTCCTGTGGCCGATGAAAATCACATGCTGAGGCTGAGGCCTTACTGGCCCTTCTTAGAGCTTCATTGGCAGTGAAGCAGTGCCACCCTAGACACATGGGGCTGTAAGAGCTTTGAGAGGTGGGGGTCTGCAGAGGGTTTAGAGAATTCTGCTGCCAAGCCATTGGCATGGGTCTTTTCCCAAGTCATCAATCACCCCCCCACACCCCTGTCCACCCTTTCCTGTTGCCTACCACTGGGAAAGTCCAGTGTCAGTTTTTACCAGCCCTGTATGTGGATTTGAAATGTGTATTTAGGTGGTCTTCCCTAGAGCCTTGCATTTGAAAAAAGGACTCCTTGCTACCCAGGATACCCTCCCCTTGGAAGGTGGGGGTGTTAATTTTGTTTGTGTGGTGCATTGTGCAGTGGCATGCATGTGTGGTCAGAGGACAGTTGACAGATGTCAGTTCTCCACTCTTATGTGTCTTAGGAGTGGAACTCAGGTTATTAGGCTTGAAAACAAGCACCTTTACCTACTGAACCATCTTGCCAGCACTGATTGTCTATCTTCCAAACCTGGTTGGGTTAAAGTTGGGATAGAGATGTCTCTAGGGATGCTGTTAAGGGAATTGAGGCTGGGCATGGTAGTGCATGCCTTTAATCCCAGTACTTGGGAAGAGGAGGCAGGGAGATCGTTTGTAAATTCAAGGCCACCCTGGTCTACATAGTTCCAGGCCAGCTGGGGCTACAGGGAGACCCTATCTCAATACGACCAAAAAACAAAAAAAAAAGAAGGGAATTGAAGTTGGAGAGATGGCTCAGCAGTTAAGAGCTCTGGCTGCTCTTGCAGAGGACCCATGTCTGGTTCCCAGCACCCACCCACATGGTGGCTAAGGATGGTCTGCAACTCCTGCTACTTCAGGGCATCCAGTGCCCTCTCCTGATTTCCATGGGCATTGCATGACATGGGTGTACTTACATACATTTAGGCAATAAATTCATATACATAAAATAAAAATAATAAGTTGATATTTTATTTTATTTATTTATCTTTTAGTCTTTCTGAGACAGGATCTCCCTGTAGCTCCAGTTGGCCTGTATTCACTGTGGAGACCAGGCTGGCCTAGAACTCACAGAGATCCGCCTGCCTCTGCCTCCCAAGTGCTGGGATTAAAAACGTGCGCCACCACTCCTGGCATAAATTGATATTTTAAAAGAGAGGAGAAGGGAATTGGACACTTAGGCTGAGGGGGTAAGAGCATAGTGTTGTTCTTCCTGCCCACCTGGAGTAGCCATAGCCATGGTCTGCGGGAGGAGGGTGCCTACCAAATGCAGTTTGGGAAGCAAAAGGCAGGAGGGATCTTGGGAGGCTAGCCTCTTCATGGTTTTATGGCTTCCCCCAACCCCCAAACCTAAGACCCGCCTAGGTTCCTAATTGCAATGACCCCAGTGAGTAAATAGTTACATGTTTACGACTTTCCTGGTCCTGAGAGGCAGAAAGTACCATGGCAGTTTGGGGCATGAGCATGCCGCCTCAGAAACTCCTGCCCATCTCTGCCTGCCTGTGGCTCTTCATAGTGGAGTGGGGAGCTCTAGGCAGCCTCTGGCCTCTGGAGCCCCTGACTGGACCTAGCACCAGCTTTCTCCTCCCTGCCCCACCCCCACCTCCAAACTCGAGTAGGGGGAGGGGCAGCCTTCTGCACTGGGATCTACCCTGGAGGAAACAGGTGTCAGCCAGGCCAAGAAAGAACAATTTGCATGGGGCAGAAAATTCCCCTGCCTCTTGGGTTTCCCAGCCCAGAGTCTTTTGTACCTAAAAATAGACAGGAACCTCCAATCAAGGCTTGCTGGGGATGAGCTACACTTGGCCCAGACCTCAGACTTGGAGCCCTTGGAGGTGGATGTGACATCTGACCAGAGGGGCTAAAGAGTCCTCCCCACCGCAGACTGTGGCCAAGAACGTGCTTGTCCTCACACGGCTGACTGGGGCACAGCACGAGATTCCCCTCAACCACAAGTGAGAAGGTTGAGCCCTGGTCAGCATAAGTTCTGAGTTACGGTGGGGAGGAAGTGTCAGTAAGAACTTCTAAATGATTTGGGTGGGGGAAAACTTGGCTGCATAGAGTGTTTGCATGAAATTGCTCCTACCCACCCACCCCCCAACACGCTGTGAGGGGAGGGCCTTGAGGATGAGCCTGATCTAGGAGGCAAGGGGATTTTGGGAGCCTAACCATCCTGGATAACTGCCTGGATGGACATGCTGGGTGTTCAGTGTGGTAGAGTGATACAGAATGCCCCCCCCCCCCCCAGGAAACCATGGTTCACTCCCTCTCTTCTTTATTGCTAACTGTGCTTAGTGATGGGATGGAGGATTTGAGGACCCTCACTACTTACCATTGTACCTATAGTGGCCATTTAGTAAACTGAAATGGCTGAGGGGTAAGTGTCAGCTAAACTGGCAACTCTTCCTAGTGCTCACCAAGGAGAGCTCTTAACACTGAGTAGCCTGGGGCCTGAGTACTGACCAGGAGTCAGGACCCTGGACAGGGCTGAGGCCTGTGGCCTAGCTTCCCTTCTGGCCTGTGCCCAGTCTACAGCTCTTCCCTGAGCCAGAGGAAGAGGCGAGTTCCACCTCAGTACCGAGGGCTAAAGGGACAAGCCCTGGAACACACCGAGACTGAGTTAGAATTTTTTTGGTGAAAATCTTAAAGTCTCAGCCTGATGTCTTTCGTCTGTTAGTCCTGTCTGTGAGACACCTTCAAAGCTAAAATCTGTCCCTTTGCCTGAAAGCCGGAAGCCTGGGGAGCTGCTATTATTGTGTACATTCTGCTAGAACCTTGGGGCTCTGCCCTGGGCAGTTCCACCCCATGACCTGGACATTCTAGTGCTTAATCTTGTATGGTTCACATCTCTCTAGAATCTGATGGGCCTAGCAGCTTGTCTTTGACTGGTGCATACCTGCCCTCCACCCACCCCTATTCTAATTTAAATAGTCAGTACTTAAGTGGATAAAAGCCTCCCTGCTGGGGAGCAGTCTCCATTTCCCCTCCATTTGCCTAAGATTGGGGATTCCTGGCTTCTTGTTCTGGGAAAGCTTCTTGGGTGGCTGGCTGCAGCTAGTTTGGGGCCTTACCTCCTCAGTCCTGGCAGGTTTCTAATGAGCCAGAGAGAGGACTACCCTGGTTGCTAAGGACTGTCCAGCAAGACACCTGCCTTGCCATTGGTGCTAAAGACTGTCTTCTGGCCTAGGGCAGACAGGCAAGCCAAGTACTCAACCAGTTGGGGGTTTCCCGGACCAGCTGCCTAGAGATAGGAAGCTATGTTTTCAGGAAGTCAGTGTCTGCAGAAGTCAACCACTGGGCTGATGGGGGTGGGGGTGGGAGGTGCTGAGTAAGATCTGCAAGCACTCCGGAGCACCTAGGAGGCCCAGCACTGCTCAGGCCAGAGCGCAGGATGCAGGTGCTTGACCAAAGGCATCAGGAGAAGCACAGCCAGCTTTGCCAGAAGGCCCAGGCTTTGCCTCTGAGGAGCTCTGGAACCCCTGACAAGTTATTCTTTTCTCTCCAGAAAACCCTGCCTGGGCTTTGCTCCGAGGATTGCATTGCCTTTTCCTGAGACCCATGGAAAGGGGAGTTGAAGAAGGAAATAGGGCAGGAGGTAGAGAGTCTCAGAAATCGACCACCTTGTATAGTCCCAGGGCAGATGGAAATTGGAATCCAGTTGTCAGCTCCTGTAGGTCCTCCTGTGGAATGAGTGCGTCCCAACAGGAGGGAACAGGCCTTTGCACATTCTACAGACATGCCCAGCTCCTTGTCCTCAGAGGCAGGGCCTGGGGGAGAGAGTGCAAACACTGTCTGCTCCTTGCAATGAGATGTTGCCAGACTCGTGCTTCTAAAAGTTTACCTGTGTAAGGACACAACCTGTCCCAACTTGATCTAAAAAAGTAAAGATAGGGCGGTCAGGTGGTCCAGGCTCAAAACTACATTCTGGAGGAGCTGAGGTGATACTCAGATGTTTGAAATCAGATATCTACATCAAAACGGTGTCCAGTACACATGAAGCCCTGAGTTTGATCCCCAACACTGCATGAATGGTGTGGTAGCAGGAAGATTAGAAAT